TCAAGATCCTCATCTCTTCCCCAGAAAATGCCAGTACCCCCTTATGTTTGGAAGCCAGAGATTGCAGCCATTCATACAAGAATTCTTAGTGACAGGACTTTTGCACCTCTGCAGGTTTCTTTGAAATATCTCCATGTTGGCCATAAAAAGTCCAATAGTTCACATAGAATGATACAGGACCTAAGACTATCAACAAGTCTGTTATTCTTTTCTTTTCTTTTCTTTTTCTTTTTCTTTTCTTTTCTTTACTTTTCTTTTTTAACACAGAGAAAACTAGGATTGGAGGCACAATCCTCCAGAGAGAGGACTTTTTTATTTGACACATAGAGAGAGACAGCAAGAGGAGGAAGACAAACAGGGGGAATGGGGAGAGGGAAAGCAGGCTTCCCACCTAGGAGGGAGCCTGATGTAGGGCTTGATCCCAAGATCCTGGGATCATGACCTGAGCCAAAGGCAGATGCTTAACAATTGAACCACCCAGGCACCCTTATAAGGCTCTTATTCTTATTCGCCCAATTATTACTAACCATTATAACCCTCTTAAGACAGGTCTTCTCAGGTACTGTGTGGGACCTAAACATGCTTTCTTTTTTTTCCTTGTAAAAAAGTTTTTAATGGCATACTCAGAATACAATATATAAATTATTTAGTATACATTATAAAATCATTAATTTTTGGAAGTTTCCAACTGTCTAAATACCTACAGAATTGCATTTTCTGGCATAAATCATCATAAAGATGAACTATTACCTCTATTATACCAACACTAAAACTTATCCATATTCTAACATTGAGAAAATGAGATAAAAGACCAACATTATATAGTTACCTAGAAAAGATCTACAATGATTTCATAGATTATTTTAAATACATATATAAAGTTTTTTTTTAGTTTTTTGAGACACATGACTTGTCCTATTTTAATAACATGATTCATATGTTGAATGTGGGTTATAATGTGGAGGGCAGAGCAGAGGATTTGAAGCTGAAAACCATTGTTCAATCTAGGATTGAACTTCCTAGATTGCTGGCATTTCTATCCTTTGTGCCAGTTGGCACATTTTAAACATCTAAATAAAAAAATATATAAATGAATGAAAGAGTGACTAAATAAATAAATAAATAACATTAACAAGGATTTCTTCATTTGTAACTTGGAGATAATGCCACTTACCACACAGAATATTTGTAAAGAACAAGATATCAAATAGATGCTATAGTGCTTTGTTAACCTTAAGACTCTGAAGTAAGTTATTTATAAAAATCTTTATTTTTTTTCAATTTTATTTTATTTTTTCAGTGTTCCAAGATTCATGTTTTATGCACCAATCCTTTAGTAGAGTTTGTTATTTTATAAAAATATCAAATGTCAAATAAACTTGAGTACTTGGCTTTGATACAGTAGCATTGGGTATTCTGTCCTGCTTTGTTGAAGATCAGTCACTTTGAAAAATGTTGTGGGGAAATTGGACAGCCACATGCAGAAGGGTGAAAGTGGACCACTTTCTTATACCACACAAAAATAAATTAAAAATGGATAAAAGATTTAAATGTGAGACAGGAGTCCTTCAAAATTTTAGAGGAGAACACAGGCAGCAACGTCTTTGACTTTGGCCACAGCAAATTCTTGCTAGACATCTTTCCAAAAGAAAGAGTAACAAAAGCAAAAATGAACCATTGGTACTTCATCAAAATAGGAAGCTTTTATACAGCAACAGAAACAGTCAACACAACTAAAAGGAAACCTATGGACTGGGAGAGATATTTGCAAATGTCTACTCAGATAAAGAGCTAATGTCCAAAATCTATAAAGAACTTCTCAAATTCAATACCCAAAAAACACATAATCCAGTCAAGAAATGGGCAGAAGACATGAACAGACATTTCTCCAATGAAGACATACAAATGGCCAATAGACACATGAGAAATTGCTCAACATCACTCAGCATCAGGGAAAGCCAATTGAAACCACAATGAGATACCAGCTCACAGCAGTGAGAATGGCTAAAATTAACAAGTCAGGAAACAACAGATGCTGGTGAGGATTCAGAAAAAGAGGAACATTCTTACACTTTTGGTGGGAATGCAAACTGATGTAGCCACTTTGGGAAACAGTATGGAGATTCCTCAGAAAGTTAAAAATAGAGTTACCTGGAGCCCCAGCAATTGCACTACTGGGTGTTCTCCAATGGTTGTAAACATAGTAATTCAAAGGGGTACATGCATCCCAATGTTTATAGCAGCAACGTCCACAATAGCCAAAATATGGAAAGAGTCCCAATGTCCATCAACAGATGAATGGGTAAAGAAGTGATATATATAATGGAATATTACTTAGCCATCAAAAGGAATGAAATCGTGCCATTTGCAATGACATGTATGGAACTAGAGTGTATTATGCTAAGAAAAATAAGTCAGTCAGAGAAAGATGAATATCACTGGATTTCATTCATGTGTGGAATTTAAGAAATGAAACAGGTGAACATAAGGGGAGGTATGGAAAAACAAAAGGAAATGAGAGAGGGAGATAAACCATAAGAGATTCTTAACTCTATGAAACAAACTGAGGTTTGCTGGAGGGATGGTGAGTGGGGTGATGGGGCAACTGGTTGATGGACATTAAGGAGGGAACTTGAAGGAATGAACACTGGTTATTGTATGCAACTGGTGATAATGAATTCTACCACTGAAAAGAAATACAACATATGTTAATTAAATTGAATTTAAACTAAAAAAAAAAAAAAAAAAAAAAAAAACTTGCTTTCCTCTGTATCCCAGTGCCCTGGATTCCCAGCTCTTCTTTGCCTTTGAGTGGCAGGACCTCTCCACTAGGTTACTCAACAGCTAACTCGGACTCTCCTCCCTCAGGGCTTTAGGAACTATCCAGATTCATTTGGACAGGACTTAACCAAGGACTTCTCTACACCTCAGCTCCCCAGATGCAGTGTCTTACTTCAATATGCCAATGATTTACTTATCTGCAGCCCCGATGACAACACCTCTGACACAAAAACCATCCTGGTGCTTCAGAGCTTCCCTTCTGGACTATAAGATCTCCCCTTGAAAGGCCCAAATTTCCTCTCAGAAGGTTCAGATCCTAGGATTATTATTAACTCCGAGGACTAAGAGCCTCTCTGACAACCATAAGGGTCTCATTTTAACATGAATACTCCCTCCACAAAATAGCAGCTTCATTCCTTTTTGGTATCACAGGGTTTTGTCCAATATGGATACCCTAATTTGGATTAATAACAAGGCTTTTTATGAGGCCCTGAAGGGACCTGAGGAGGAGTCTCTGGAGTGAGACCCTAAAATGACAAAAACTTTTGGAGCCCTCCATCAGGTACTTACAGGGGCACCAGCAGTGGACCTGCCAGACCTCTAGAAACACTTCTCCTTACATGTGCATGAGAGAAGTGGAGTGGCCTCTGGAGTCTTGATCCAAATGCTGGGGCCTTCCCAACACTTGTTCACACACCTATCTAAGAATCTAGCTCCTGTGGCACAGGGATGGCCTCCCTCCTCTGAGTACTGGGGTTACAGCCCTACTGGTAGAAGAGGCCTCTAAGTTAACCTTGGGACCAGGCATAACTGTTTATATACCTTAATTGTTTTTGGACACCCTGAATTCTAGGACATTTCATTGGATTTCCTAAGGTAGAATTAAAAATGCCCAACCCTTTTATTAGAAACACCAGAATACTGTTTGGTATCCTGCCCTCCACCACAGAAGCACTGCAGCACCCACTGGACTCCACATCAGGTGCAGACCTCTAAAACTCCAGTTGTTGAGCCCCACCAGTTGCAAAAACTCAGAAATGAACCATTCTCATTTTCCCAATCATTGAGTTTTGGGACTTGTTTTCCTTGTGTGATCTCTTCCATACTTCTCTCTCTCTCTCTCTCTCTCTCTCTCTCTCTCTCCTGGTTTCAATCAGGATTCCCTCCCCTCCACAGCACCCATGATCCATTTCTCCCCCAAGTCATGTCTTCGCACCTCCTACCCTCCATGATGTGGCCTCTTCTCTGCCTCTAGCTGATGCAAGTCCTCAGATCTGCCAGTCCTCAGATAGATTTCTTGGGTATTCAGAATGATGTGATATTTATCTAGCTGTGTTTGAGGGTCCAGGCAAGTTTGGGATACTCCTACTACTACACCATATTAACTCCTCCCTCCTGAAACTCTTGTTTCTTTTTCTGTTCCTATCTTCAACTTTCTTGTGGTGGAACACTTCAGATGTACCCTCCTGGAAAATTTCATGTACACAATTTCTCTGCCTTCTTGCATGTAGGGTTCATCCTCAGGCATGCTTCTCTGGTGCTGAATAATGCCTTGTACTTGTTTGAGACTTTATACCCCACACATTATCATCCAGGACAAGAGAAAACATTCATTTCCCTGCCATCAACCCCAGGAATCAGACAACAGGTCCATTCCAACAAGTTTCTGCAATTAAATAACTGGAATGGTCATAGGCAAAACTCTGTTTCTCTTCAGGGGCTCAGGCACATCAGAAAAGATCCAGAGAATTCCCTTAGCCAGGTGACAAGATTTAACAGAAGAGCATCAAACATCTAATCTACTACAAACTTGTCAGAAATTAAAAGGAAAAAAAGCTATACATGTGGCATAAATTCAACACAGGTTTTTATTGAGGACATTTTCCATGCAGGTGAGACACCTTGCCAAGCATGCAATTATTAAAAAAGCATGGACTTTATTTCCCCAAATCCTAAGAACTGGAAGGAAGAAGGGTCCTAACTGGGGGTGTAAAAAGAAGTAGGAAGTGAGGCATAGATCTACGAAAGTACAGGAAAATGTGATAGAAATTCTCAAAAGGCAGAGACTATGTCTACTTGTAATTCAGAGAGGGCTCATGGGAAGAAGTGACATATGATGCCTGATGACTCATGGAGGTGCTGGGACTTTATTCCGTTCAGAGAAAATTTTTGAAATTTAATTTCCAGAACCAAGACAGAACAAACCCCACTAAAATACACTGAACTTATATTGATAACTGATCATTAAGCACAACTGAAAGACAAAATTGCACACAGAGAATTCCAAGCACATCACTGCTGAACTGGGTTTAGGTAAGTACTGGAGCCTGGGCTGCTGGGATCTCAGTCAGAGGGGAAGCCAGTGCATTGATGTCTCCAGTGTGTCTTCCTGGGAGGAGCAGAGGAATCACTTTGCAGCAGGTGAAGATGAGGACTGCAGGGGGAAGGGCACTGGGAGCAGGAGGGCTGAGGACAGACTGAAACTGGGGGACACACTTGGGAAAGAGCAGGAAGGTGGCTCCAGAGACTTACCAGCACTTCCAAAGCCATAATGCCAGACCGGCCAGAAGCACCAGGGGCACTATCATCACCAGGAAGACCAATCCCATGGAGTGGGGCTGCTCTGTGGGTTTGGTGTACAGAGGGGGTTACTTCTCAACTATCTGGGTTGAACTGTACCTCTCTGGTCTTCTTTTCTCATGTCACCCTCTGCCTCACCACCTGCCCTTCCTCTTTTCACTTCTCCCATCCCTCCTCGGATATGGACCTTCACCAACCCTCCACATCCTCCCATATCTGCAGGACCCACACCCTCAGGTCTTCTACTTCTTGGATTACTGACTTTTTGGTCCTTTGTGGTCTGGAATCCCTAGAATTCCCTATTTTTCATCTGATTCTCCTGCTGTTAGAGGAATACCAGCCCCCTTTCCCAGGTGGGTCCCATCTCTTTCTTACCCCAATAGAGGATGATGTCCTGGCCTCCAAGACTGCTATGTCTCACCCGACAGTATAGACCAGCCACCTCCCTGGATTTCACATTCAAGGACATCTGAAGATACCATGTCCCATCAGCATGGGGTAGGATGTTGCTTTGCTGGGTGCCCTGCTGCTCCTGCTCACCACGCATCCACATCACCAACACAGGCTTTGGATAGAAGCCAGAGACATGGCACACCAGCAGGAGGTGGTCAGGATCTGGACTGGGGCCAGTGGACAGCCAGGCCTCTGGTCTCACTGCAGACACAGGACAGATAATCACTTGTCCCCTCTCCTCTTGACTCCTTCTAACCCTGAATTTGAAGGAATGGTACAAATTTATGAGTGTAGAGTAGAGAATTCATTGAGGGAGGGACCAGGACTGACCTTGTCGCTGGAGATGTGCCTTCCCTGAATCAAGAAGACCCGACAGGAACCGGAGGCAGGTGTCACTGAGGAGGGTGTGTAATATTTCATTGAAAACATGGTACTGATTGAATAGTCTGCAGACCTGCTGAGCCCTACTTCCTCCCTTTGGAGATGGCCACCATGATCTGTTCTGGAAACTCATGAGATCTGATCCTTGATAAGCAATCTGTGCATAGCCTACTGATATGTCTCCAAAGTGGGAATCACAGCCTCCTGCAATCTGTACCTGAAAGGGATCTGGGAACAGAGAATATGAGTTACAGGACAGGGATAGGGAAAGAAATGAAATAACATGCATGGAAGCCAAGGATGGTGGAAGAGAGGGAGAAGTTTAGGGGTCTGGAAGGAATAGATCGGTTTGGTTTGGGGGGACACTCACACAAAGGGGAAGTGGTGGTTGATGCAGACAGGGGAAGAGGTGAAGGCTTGAAGAAGGAACAATTGTTGAAGGAGAGACATGAATGGTATGGTTGGAGAATAGGGAAGGGCTCAGTATGAGAGCTGTGGTAAAAAAAAAAACAATCTAAGTTAAAGGGATTGCAGTGGGTACAGAGAACACATAAATAGAGTTCACTAATGGGACTGAATGTGGAGAAAACTCATTTCAAGGAATCATTCACAGAGTGAGGGAGCAGAGTGTGCCTGACTGGAGGCCAGGGAGAGGGTGGTGTCAAGAGTCACTAGTGAGGGACTGGAGAGCTCAGTCTGCACTCAATGAGAGGGGTGGGAAATAGCACAAGACATGAAATTTTACCAGAATTGGGGTCTGGCTTCCACCCTTTGCCTAGATTAGTGTTATTCAGATTTATTATGGGGAGATGTGAGATTCAGAAGCCAGTAGAGGTTTCTATCCTAGAGGAAGAAAGAACTCAAGGAAGCACATACACCTGCCACCTCCATCCCACCCTGGAGGGAAGTGAACTCACATTCAAGCTGCCATTCGTTGACATGGTAATGAAATATCTGAAGAAGTCTAATGGAATTTGTATGGAATATGCTTTCCAGTTTTATGAACCTCTCCTTACTGAAGTTGCCCTTGGACCAAGGCCACAGGAAAATGAAAGCACCAGTCTTGTTGTTCCAGCCATGAGTCTCCAGCTCATCTAGCCATGCTGAGCCTTGATTTTGTGTCCAGGAAGAGTTATAAAAGGATGAGGTCAGGATAATTCTGAAGGAGATTGGCTTCTGGAAGGCTGTGGGCAAAAAACAGATTGAGAAATAGGAGAGCATTTGGAAGGAGACAGAATGGAGAAGAGGGTACAGGGAGGAGAACCAATATCTGGAGGACAGAGAAGCCATAGTTATCTCAGGAGACATGTGCTGCCCCAGAACTCTGACTTTCATACCCATCCTTCAGAAAAAGAGCACATGGTCCTAGAAGTGGGAATGCTCAGGAAGGAACCAGGCTGGCACTCTGGTCCCCAGATAAATGGTGAGGAACCCACACCATGAGTGCACACACACAGAGACACAAATGCACACATGTACACACACAACCACATACACAGATGCACACATATGCACACAGTATGCACACATACAAAAACAGACACATACCCACACACCTACACACACGTACATGCACAGGGATGTACACAGGCACAAACATACACATACTTATACATACTTACACAACACAAACATATACACATATTCAAATGCACACAAGCATATGTTCACACATTACACACACAAATACTTGTAAAAACACACATACACACACACACTCACATGTGTACCCAATGGGTAGGGCCACAGTTCTCACCATCTTCACTGTCACCACCTGGGAGGAGAAACACCAGCAACACAATTTGCAGAAACAGCATTGTATTTGCAGATGTTTTCTTTCTCTTACAAGTCAGCCTTGGATGTCTGTTCTAACAAACCTACCCCACACATAGCCCTTCTCTTCTGACTTCCTTCTCCACACACAAGCTTTCCCTGAGTCTCTTCTAAAATGCAAATGTGCTCCTCCCTCAACCCTGGATGCCTACTCAGACTCTCAGTTCCCCTCCTGGTCTGACCCTCCTCTCTGGCTTCCAGCTTCTCCCTGTCACCAGCTTCCATCCTGCTGTCCATCGCCTAATTCAGTCACTACAGAACCAGTACTGTGTGACATGGAAAATCACCCCACCTCTCAGGCCTTTCCTTCACATCCAGATAATAACCCATGAAAACACGGCTCCCAACACACAGCCCTGGGCCCTGCTGTCACTCTTTCCCTACTGCCCTTGTGACACCCCCATGTATTTTATTTCCTGCCATTTCCCCACTACAGTTCATTCACATCTCTGACTTCTCACTGCTTATGTTAAACAAAAACAAAAACAAAACCAAAATCAGCCAGGTAAATTTGAATATCCAGTTGTTTTCATTAAGTGATTCAAGAATGGAGCAGCATCCCATCTGACAGGTAGAGGGGAACTCTGAAGAGATGTATAAATGGGTAGATTTTATAGGAAGGAAGTTGAAAAAAGAAGAAAAGGAGGGTTTCGGCGGTTATTCCCTTAATTGGGAGAGCAAAGAGGGTCTTGCCATGCAGATGACCTCCCCTCCCTGGGGAATGGAGAGGGTCCATGTGAAAGAACACCTCCCTGCTGAAGACCAGAGAGTTCTCCCTGATGGAGGCAGTGAAAACTGCAGCTAGGTTAGGGATAAAGCAAGGTTTAGGGACTTAGCCTAGGCCTAGGTACCAATTTGGGCCCATGGATTTCTTTTTTAGCAGTTGCTCTATTCGCTTGTCCAGATTCCCCCATGATTATCTGTGTAACGGCACCAGCAACCACCAGTCTGCCATTATTCTTAGGGGAGGAACCAGGAGCCATCACAGAGACCACAGGACATTTAACATCTGAAGAATACCCTCTCCATCTAACTTACGTTAACATATATTCACTCACCAAACAGTCACTTAACACCTGCCTGGATTCAAGCACCACACTACACTCATGAAAATACAGTGTTTACAGTGCAGTCACTTTATCAAGGAAATTTTAAGTCTACCTGGGAAGAAAAGAACTATACATCTTGGTGTGCTGCGTTACTTTTTCTTTAGTTGGTTTATTTTAAGTTCCAGTACAGTTAACAAACAGTATTATATTAGTTTCAGGGAAAGAGCATAGGGATTCTACAATCCTATACATTACTCAGTGCTCATCAGTATAAATGTATTCCTAATCCCCTTCACCTATTTCCCCCACGTCCCATCCATCTCCCCTCTGGGAACCAGTAGTGTGTTCTCTATAGATAAGAGTCTTGTTTTTATCTTGGTCACTTTTTCCTTTGTTCATTTTGTTAGTTTCTTAAATTCCACACACGAAGAAGTCATATGGTATTTGTCTTTCTCTGAGTGATTATTTCACTTATCATCATACTCTAGCTCCATCCATGTTCCTGCAAATGGGAAGATTTCAGTAACTTTTATGGCCAAGTAATATTCCACTGTGGGTACATACCACACCATTTTTTCTGTATTCCTCTATCTATGGACACAAGGGCTTCTTCCGTACATGGACAATTGTAAATAATGCTGCAGTAAACATTGGGGTGCATGTGTCTTTTCATTTTAGTGTTTTCACAATCTTCAGATAAATATCCAATAGTAGAATTACTGGATAATGTGATAAATCTCTTTTTTAATTTTTTGAGGAACCTTCATACTGTTTTCCACCATGGCTGCACCAATTTGCATTCTTACCAAGTGTACAAGAGTTCCTTTAACTCCACTTCCTCTACAACACTTGTTTCTTGTGTTTTTGAATTTAGCTAATGTGACAGGTGTGAAGTGATATCTCATTGTGGTTTTGATTTGCATTTCCCTGATGATGAGAGATGCTGAGCATTTTTTCCTGTGTCTGTTGGCCATCTGGATGTCTTCTTTAGAGAAATGCCTACTCATGTCTTCCACCCATTTTTTAATCAGATTATTTGTTCTTTTGGTGTTGAGTTCTCTAAGTTCTTCATGTATTTTGGATACTAAACCTTTAATAAATATTTTATTAGGAAATATCTACTCACATTCAGTAGGTTGACTGATAGTTTTGTTCACTGTTTCCTTTGCTGTTCAAAAGCTTTTTATCTTGGTGAAGTCCCAATAAATCATTTTTTTTTATTTTGTTTCTCTTGCCTCTGGCAATGTGTCTAGCAAGAAGTTGCTGCAGTCAAGGTCAAAGAGGTTTCTGCCTGTGTCCTCTAGAATTTTGGTGGATTCTTGTCTCGTATTTAGGTCTTCATCCATTTTGGGTTTATTTTTGTGTATTGTGTTAGAAAATGGTCTAGTTTCATTCTTCCATGTGTGTCTGTCCAATTTTCCCAACACTGTTGAAGACACTGTCTTTTTTCCATTGGACATTCTTTCTTCCTTTGTTGAAGATTAGTTGACCATAGAGTTGTGGTTCATTTCTGGGTTCTCTATTCTGTTCCAGGGATCTATGTGTCAGTTTTTGTGCCAGTAACATACTGTCTTGATGCTTACAGCTTTGTAATACAGCTTGAAGTCTGGAATTGTGATGCCACCAACTTTGGTTTTCTTTTTCAACATTTTTTTTGGCTATTTTGTGTCTTTTCTGGTTCCATACAAATTTTAGGATCATTTGTTCCAGCTCTGTGAAAAATGTCAATGATATTTGGATAGAGATTGCATTGAATGTGTAGATTTCTTTGGGCAACATAAACAATCCATGAGCATGGAATGTTTTGTTTTGTTTTTTTTTTCATTTCTCTGTGTCTCCCTCAATTTCTTTCATAAGTGTTCTATAGTTTTCAAAGTACATGTCCTTTACCCCTATGGTTAGTTTTATTCCTAGGTATCTTGTGGTTTTTGATGCAATTGTAAGTGGGATTGATTTCGTAATTTCTCTTTCATCTGCCTCATCATTAGTGTATAGAAATGTGACTGAGTTCTGTGCATTGATTTTTATATCCTGCCATTTTGCTGAATTCCTGTATGAGTTCTAGCAATTTCTGAGTGGAGTCTTTGGGTTTTCAACATTGAGTATCATGTCATCTGTGAAGAGTGAAAATTGCCAATTTGGATACTTTTTATTTCTTTTTGTTGTGATTGCTGAGGCTAAGATATCCAGTACTATGTTGAACAACAGTGGTGAGAATAGCCATCACTGTCATTTTCCTGACCTTAGGGGAAAAGCTCTAATTTATTCCCCCTTGAGGATGATATTTGCTGTGGGTTTTTCATATATGGCTTTTATGATATTGAGGTATGGTCCCTCTACCTATACTGAAGAAAGTTTTTATCAAGAAAGGAATGCTGAATTTTGTCAAATGCTTTTTCTGCATCCATTTAGAGAGTCATATGTTTCTTTTCCTTTTTTTTTTTTAATTAATGTGATGTATCACATTGATCAATTTGCAGATGTTAAACCATCCTTTCAGTCCGGGAATAAATCTTGGTCATGGTGAATAATCCATTTAATGTACTTTTGGATCCTATTGGCTAGTATCTTCGTGAGAATTTTTGCATCCATGGTCATCAGGGATATAGATCTGTAATTCTCCTTTTTGCTGGGGTCTTTGCCAGGTTTAGGGATCAAGGTAATTCTGGCTTCATAGAATGAGTTTGGTTTTCTTTCCATTTCTTTTTGAAACAGCTTCAGAAAAATAGGTATTAATTCTTCTTTAAATGTTTGTAGAATTCCACTGGGAGGCCATCTGACCCTGATGGCCTCTTGTTTGTTGGGAGAGTATAGATTACTGCTTCAGTTTCTTTGCTGGTTACAGGTCTGTTCAGGTTTTCTATTTCCACCTGCTTTGGTTTTGGTAGTTTGTATGTCTCTAGGAATGCATCCATTTCTTCCAGATTGCCTAATTTATTGGCACATAATTGCTCATAATATTCTTTTATAATTGTATTTCTTCAGTGTTCATTATGATCTCTCCTCTTTCATTTATGATTTCATTACCTGGGTCCTTTCTCTTTTCTTTTTGATAAATTTGGCTAGGGGTTTGTCGATCCTATTAATTCTTTCAAACAAGTTCCTAGTTTGGTTGATTTGTTCTACTGTTAGTTTGATTTCTACATCATTGATTTCTGCTCTAGTCTTTATTATTTCTCTTCTCCTGCTGCATTTAGGCTCTATTTGCTGTTCTTTTTCCAGCTCCTTTAGGTATAAGGTTGGGCTTTATATTTGAGACATTTTTCATTTCTTGAGAAAGGTCTGTATTGCTATATACCTCCCTTTTAGGACTGCCTTTGCTGCATCCCAAAAGTTCTGAACGGTCATGTTTTCATTTTCATTTGTTTCCATGTATTTTTTTTAATTACTCTTTAATTTTTTGGTTGACCTATTTATTCCTTAGTAGGATGTTCTTTAACGTCCATATAGTTGTGTTCCATCCAAATTTTCTCTTATTCATGTCTCCTGCCCATTTTTTGATGTGGTTATCTGTTTTTGGGGTGTTGAGCTTGAGGAGTTCTTTATAGATCTGGATATCAGCACTTTGTCTGTAATGTCATTTGCAAATATCTTCTCTCATTCTGTGGGTTGCCTCTTTGTTTTGTTGTCTGTTCCCTTTGCTGTGCAGAAGCTTTTTATCTTGAAGTCCCAAAAGTTCATTAAACAACAACAAGAAGAACAACAACAACAATTTTCTCTTGTGATTGAGTTCAAGTTTTAAAGCATTGTGGTCTGAAAATATGCATGGTATAATCTCAATCTTTTGGTTTTGGTTGAGACGTGATTTGTGACCCAGTATGTGATCTATTCTGAAGAATGCTCCATGTGCACTCAAGAAGAATGTGTATTCTGTGTCTTTGGAATGAAATGCTCCAAATATATTTGTGAAGTCTATCTCGTCCACTGTGTCACTCAAACCCATTGTTTCCTTGTTCATCTTCTGCTTGGATGATCTGTCCATTGCTGTGACTGGAGTGTTAAATCCCCTACTATTATTATGTTATTATCCATTTTTTTTATTTTGTTATTTTTATATTGTTTTTATGTTTTATGTTTTTATGTTTCATTTATTATGTTATTTTTATTTTTATGTTGTTTTTTTTATTTTGTTATTACTTGATTTATATAATTGGCTGCTCCCATGT